GCCCCTGGCGCCCATTGGCCGCGCCGACGCCCGCTTCTTCTATAAAGTGCAGGATTGCTGGTGCTGCGGCTGAACCCGTTCCTAGATGTTGGCGCCTGAGGTAAGTGGGGCGCGTCTGCGGGGAACCAGGGTCGCCGCCGTCAAGGATTGGGTGGCGCGAGGTGCGAGGCGTGGGGAGGGGCAGAGACCTTCTGGGGAGGTTAATAGCTAGCTAATAGCCCCCGCGGGCTGGGCCTGATGGGTCAGTTTTACCCCCGTGGGTCTGTGGAGAAAAAAGACACTTTCTCTGTGTGAGAAACATGGTCTTCACTGGTTATCTATCTTATTTCACCTTCAACCCTGTGAGGTAAATAATCTCTTGAATTTTATAGATGAGGAAACCCAAATCTGTGTGACTAATTGCTCGTAGCATTAACAGGCAACGTTTGTCTTCCTTTCCATCAAAGGGCAACATCTTTTTTTTCCTTCTTCTCTCATAAAGTGAACTGACCATCAGATTCCTCCAAAGAAAAGGGAGACCCGGATGCAAAGCCCCTCAGTATCCCACCTACCCTCATTACCGCCATCCTTCCCAACAGAAGACTAAGTGCTTGGTACAAGATTGCCATTGACAAAGAAGAAGAAGTTTAGATCTAGTAAATAGTACAGGTAAGTTTAACCCGGATTAAATAGAACTTTTTGATGCTCAGAGATTGGAAATTAACTGCTCATGGATGTTCTCCTCTGGTTACCTTGGGAAGAAAAAGACTAGAGCTGAAATTTCTAACCCAGTAAAAGTTTGTGTCAGTTGTCAAAGGTGTGTAGCATACCAGCTATAAATGTTTCTGTGAATCTACAGTGTGCGGTTTTAAATATTTTATCACTGAGTGCATTTGTCGATATATTATTATTATCATATTAGATTACCCTCAGGCAGGGGTCTATTTTCTGTTTCCCCTTGCTTTCCTAGTTCCTTTGTTTTCTAAAATAATGCTTTTCACCGACAGTGGTTACTTTTGTATTTTATCTCTACTTTCAGCCTCATTCCCACCCCAGCGCCATTTAGAAAAGAAAATCAAGATTTATTGGGGGGATTCCCCATGAACCAGTCTTTCTTGCAGCGTTAGTTTGGCCTTCAAACAAAATCTATGCTTTTAGAAGACTTTAAATGTGTACTTTTTTCCTATATGAGATAAATTTAAATTTCATTTGTTACTGATTAAACTAAGAGAAGAAAAGACTTGCCATTGGCTGCTGACCTGATGACCTTCTTGGTCTGCTTTCCTTATTTCCAAAGGTGTATCCTGCACCCTGGTGCATCTTTGGGAAGGAAACGCAGCAGGAGAATGAGAAAAGGGACAGTTCCAGTTGGCATCGGCTGATCAGTGTGCTGCCTTAAAAAGAAAATATATACTTCCTGATGAGACACAGATTCTAATTAATGTTACTCATTAGTCATTTTGTAGCCTTCTATTTACCAGGATAGAATGGTAAGGTTTTTCCTTTGGAAGAGTAGGAGAGTGTAGAAGGTTGAAGGGAGGAAAGAAAATGGAAAATATTGAGGTTCTGAAGACAGCTTGGAGGTAACTGCATGAAGGAAAAGTGAACTCATGGCTCATGAGCTCTGTCAGCAGGCAAAGTTATGGCCAAATTTTAGGAAGGATAAAGGCCCTATCCTCTGTAACTTTCTTTTTTTGAGGGGGAGGTTGGAGGGCAGAAGGAATAGGAGAGGAAGTGAGGGTTTTCTTCTAGCTACTTAGCAAACATTCCTTCTGAGAACTTTTCTTCTTAAGAATAAGAATGTTTCAGGGCCAGGGATTTAGCTCAGCGGCACTGCACCTGCCCTGCAAGAGCAAGGTCCTGAATTTGATCCCCGATACTGCAAAAAAAAAGTATAATACTAGTGCATGGTATCTGTAGATATTTGACAAATGCCAGTTCCCTTATTCACTTCCTCTTGCTAAGAGTGGCTAGAATCTAGCCATCAGTAAGGAGACAAATTACTTTTTTTCTTATCTCCATACTCTCTAAATTTACATGTAGAAGTCCTTCAATTTAGTACATACCTGACAAATATTTGTTAAATTCCAAAAGTATCAGAAGGGCTAAATTCTAAAACAGAAAATTGTATTCCACTGGCATGTTTAGTATCCGACTGTTGTTTATGATCATACCGTTGTAAGCAATTGAGCCATATTTGATACTTTATTCTTTCAAATCAAGTGAGTGTCTTTGGGACTGCCGTCTGTCTTATAGGGGCTCCTAAGCCTGAAAGAGGAGGCTTGACGGGTGAAAGAAACAAGAAAAAGAGAAGATTGCATGAAGCCTCCTGTCTTAGTCATTTTTTTGTTGCTGAGACAAAATCCTGCACCTATGACTGCATGAGGCTTTGGGGGCACATCTAGATTCGAGCCATAACATTCCACCTCTGGCTTCCAACGAGACTCATGCACATCCCTTTATGCAAAAGGCATTTATTCCATCTTTAAAGTTGCCAAAGTCCTAACAGTTTTAGCATTGCTGAAAAGTCCAAGTCCAAAGACTTTTCTGAGATTTAAGGCAAACTCTTACCTCTCAGCCCCTGTACAAATGAAAAGGAAGCTAAACTTTTCCAACATACAGTGGTACAAGATAAACATTCCTATTCAAAAAGGTAAGAACAGGGACCAGAGCAAGTCCAAAATCCAGCAGGGCAAACATTAAGTCCTGTAGTTCCGTGTCCAGCATCTGAGGTGATCTGTGGCAAGATGTGGACTCCAAAGGGCTTGGGCCTCTATGGCACTGATGGTGGTCCTCACAGCTTCTCACTGGAGCTGGCCCTGCTCTCTTCTTGTAGCTTTCCTCAGACAATCCATGTTTCTGGCTTCTCCAACCTTCTGGGGTCTCCACTGCACCTTTGGCTGCACACTCACAGCTTTACACACTGCTCTCTCAGGGGCGCACTGCCTGGCTTCCCTTCTTCTGAAATCTGGGTGGAAGCCTTGCTCACCCCCCCACTCTTGCCTGTGCCTAAAGCCAGCACTACATGGATGATGCCAAGGGCTGCTGACAGCTGGAGAGTAGCCAGGCTATGTTGGCTGTAGGTGCCCACTGCCTGAATCGCTGAGCACCCTGAACCCAATCCTGAGGAACAAATTCTCTAGGCCACTGCCATTGTAGAACATGGTGCTCTGGGGCTTTCTACTCAAAGCAAAGTCCTTTACCTTTGCAATTTTGAGGTTCCAAAGACTAGCATCCTTCTGGTTTCTGTGATGTCCTCATGCTATCTTTTCTATCGTCCTATTCCTTTTCACCAACCAAGTTCTCCTCTGCTCCATCTTTGCAGGCCGTGACCTCACTGGAGCTTCCTTTCTGGCCAAACTCAAAACATTCTAAAGCATTCTGTAGGGCTTTTTTTTGGGCAGGGTCTTGCTGTGTAGTCCAGGCTGACCTTAAACTCACTGTGTAGCCCAGGCTGACCCTGAATTCTCTGCCATCTTCCTGCCTCAGTCTCCCAAGCACTGGGATTACAGGTGTGTGCTACCACACCTGACATGAGCCCTTTGCTTTTTATTCTCAACATAAATCTGGCTGAAAGCCCCCCAGAATAGCTATGCCACTGCTTCCACATTAGATTGCCTTGAAATTTCTTCCACCAGATGAATTAGTCTGCCACACTTAATCTCAGCCTCAGGCAGTTTCTGAGCATGAGCAAATGTAGACACATTTTCTTCCAAAGAGTAACACACATCGTCTGGAGTCCAACAGTCAATGCAGTTCTGTTCCTGACTAAAACCTCTGGAGCCTGGTCTTTACCACATATATTTCTATCAGTATTCTGGTCTTCTAGGCTCTGACCAGAGTCTCCCATCAAGTTCAGCTTATGTCAATTTAGTGCTGCTTCTTCAGCCAGCCAGTTTGCTTCTCCAGACCTCTAAACTCTTCCCCTGAGCCAGTTCCAGAGGCCCCCGAACTTCATGATAGGTACAGTCTTGGCAGTGACCCCACTTCTCTGGTACCCAGATCTATCTTAGTTACTTTTTTGTTGTTGCTGCTGAGACAAAATACTGGACACCCAAAGTTGAAGGAGGAAGGTTTATTTAGCTCATGGGTTTCAGCCCATAATCCACTGGCTCCAGGACAGGCTGGCAGGGCAGAAGGGCATCACAGAGGAGAAGCAGTTCATTCTATGGCAGCAGAAGGCAGGAGCAAGCAAGCAGCAAAAGCAGCAAGCCTCCCTTTCTTCTCTTCCTTCATATCCCATCCAAACTGAATGCTATTGATTGGTGCCACCCACACCGAGGGTGGGATTCCCATTATCCACATCTTTAATCCCAGTGTCACACCCTTAATCCATATTCACGCACCCTAATCCAGCCACCTTGAAACTCCCCACCTAGACCACATGAGGCTGGGGGAGGGGCATCTAGATGTAAACTGCAACATCTGCCTTCTTGTATCACTCCACGGAAAAGCAATTGAAAGCCAGGGCTTTGGCTTACTGGAAAACCCCTTTGTCCTTATTTTTTTCATTGGCTTTAGGTCGCACTGGCTGTGACCGACATAGAAGATCAAGTCTAAATTCCCCTGTGTCGTCCATATGCAGCCTTCTGAAGTATCTGACCCCACTTACCTTGCCTACGTGGTCTCCTACTGTTCTGTAATGTTTGGTCACTTTGCCTTTTGTCTTTCACTTCCACGTCTACTCTTCCTGTCCGTCTTTTTTTTCTTTCTTTAAGACATTATTGATATACATCTTTAAGGATGCCTCTTTGAACAGATATCATTAATCTAAGTTGCTATTTATCCTGTGCCATCTGAGCTATGACAGTTCTTGCTCTCCTGTGTTGTCATTCTCTCTGAACTGGGCATTCAGTTCCCTGAGGGTAAAGGTGGTGTCTTTAATCAATATTCCATTAATTCAGTTCCATCTGTCTGCTGGCTCTTATGTTCTGGGACAGTACTAGGTATGGAGACACAGTTGCTGAGCAAAAGCAATGAGATCCCTGCCACCGTGTGACACAGTCTACTTGGAGGGACAGACAAAAGCCCGTCCCCATCGAAACAGAGCTACAACCACACCTGTGACTGTTGTTATGAAAAGTGAGCATTTGACTCTGTGATAACTGACACGAGGAGAGTTGGCTCGGCCAGGTCAGGATGGGCTTGCACCCCGTCACCATCGAATCTGCTCTCAGTGGTGGGCCACACCTTCGGGTCAGTGAATGAGGACCGGTGAAGGGCAGCGGAGTCAGTTATATCATTTTATTTTATTTTTTTTTCCTCATTGAGTTTATTGCTACATTTTAGGTAGACAGTACAATTACATTCATCATTGGGATCTTGTACCTTTACATGACAGGTCTTGGTTCTCATTTTTTCCCCTTGTCCCTGCCCTCCCTTCACCCCTCCTCCCCTCCCCATTTACAAACATTTTATTTCCATTTTTTCATTTTCTCCTATTTTTTTCTTTTCCCTTATTTGCTTTCCCCTATCCTTCCTACTTTCCCTACACCTTTAGCCCCTTTCTTCCTATTTCACATTGTCAATTATCTCATTAGGATCTTATGTACTATCATAGTTTATTCATTTTAAATTGTTACACGTGAATTCCACTAAAACTACATGAAAGTAGGCATTTGTATTGGTCAGTTTTCCACTGTTGGGGCGAAATACCAGACATTCACATCTTAAATGAGATCCTTATTTTGCTTCATAGTTTCACAGGTTTCAGTCCATGGTTGGCAGGATCTAGGAGGAAACATTACAGTGGAAGTGTGTGGTGGAGCAAAGGTGCTCCCATTGTGGCAGCTGGAAAGCAGAGCGCAGGGAGGAGTGCCAGGGACAGAGAGCTACCCTCCATATGCCTGCCTCCACTGACCACCTTCTCCAGCTGCCCTCCATACGCCTCCCTCCACTGACCACCTTCTCCAGCTGGGCCCCACTTCCTACAGCACATTCAGCCACGGTGGAGTAAACCTCCGAAGAGAGTAGCACCCCGCGTGGTCCAGTCACCTCTCCATGAGTTTCTTAATCCAGCCAACGTGGCCTGGCACAGCCGTTATGAAGGATTAATAACTATTCCCCTTCCTAACACACATCTGATTTTATAACTGTGTAGCGCCTGTAGGGCCAATGTTGAAGAGGCTTCAGGGGTTATGGATGAGGTGATTTTGTGGACAGAGAGGAAAGGAAACATAGTGATAACTAGAATTCTGATCAGGAGTTAGCTTTGTAGCTTACATGGATCGAGAGCCGATCCTGTAGTTAAGTTTACAAAAGAAATAGAAGGCATTGCCCCTGCTCTGAAGGAGCTTGCTGCCTTATTAGTAGGCAAAATACGTAGGAGCAGAACATTTGGGGAAACCATTCAAAACCCCAGAAGGAAGCACTAAAACTGTGATGAGGGAAGGGGAGATAAAAAGAATGAAGATGCGACGTATGTGTGGATCAGCACACATGGAATGTCATTATTATGCACTGCAAACATGTACTAGTAGAAAATAAAATCTAAAAAATCATGATAGGAGGGGAGGTCGGACGTTTTAGAGGAAGAGCACTCAATTTCAGGCTATCAGGAAGATGGCAAGAAGCGAGAGGGGCTGAGTGATGTCTTAAAAAATGATTGGATTAGAAAAATGAATAGAAAACTACTAACTTGTTTTGTTAAGTGTGATCCCTGCCTGGGCAGTTTAGTGTGATCGTGTCTCAAACAGAAACAGAAAGGGCTAGGAATGGAGCTCAGTGCCTGGTACCCAAAACCCACAAACACATCTGCATACTCAGGCTTTGTAGGTGAGGAAATGGAAGCTTGGAGAGCTCAGTGAGCCTCAAGTTATGGGGTCTGATTGGTGCTGCCCGACTTCATTGTCAGCCTTCTGTCTGTATTTTCATACTTTAATTTTAGGGGATTGCCTCAGATTCATCATGATCGAAGACAATAAGGAGAACAAAGAGTATTCCTTGGAAAGAGGAAGAGCAACTCTCATTTTTTCCTTGAAGAATGAAGTTGGAGGACTTATAAGGGCACTGAAAATCTTCCAGGTAAGACTGTTAATATATCTGCATAAAACTGGTCTAGGAATGCTCTCACAAATGAATATTTAAAATATAAATTATTGTAAATTCTTCAGATAGGTTACAGAAATTTCTTAAGACTTACGTTTCTAATATACTGCTCAATTCTCACAAATGGTCAAGAGATTTAGACAATTCCTGGAAAAGTAGAAATAGCTAATAACGAATGGGGAGAGGAGATTCACTACATCAATTTCAGAGAAGAAAATTATGT